TAGGCTTAGCTTTATCATGTTATCAAGGTACCAAAATAGCCCACAGTTGTTTGCACTGACAGGTTAATTATGAGGTAAAGCATGTGTGCAGCTAAATAGAAGGTATTGTTGTTAATTCCAAGAACAAGGTAGGGAAAAGGGTAATGTTAAAAATATACAAGCTAGTCAAAATATTTTGCATATCTTTATATGGTGAAAGGCAGTGGAGCTTTGCATAATAGTCACCAAATTAAACTATATTTAGCAGTACATAACATGCATAGCAACATCCATCTAAACCACCTTCTGGATACTGAAGAACAGCTTTTCTTCTGTCTCTGTAGAAAACTCAGGCTGGGATTCCACCCAATGGGGAGGGACTGAACACAAAAACTCAGAAACTTTCCAAAGCCCTGAAGAGAATAAGTGCCCAAATAAGTATCTGTCTCGGACATTCCATTTTTCTAACAGTTAATCCTTAACCTAAATAATGGATATATTTACCAAGGGGATCTAAGACTAGACTGTCAGTGGGATTCCAATATTGCAAATGTAAAACTCTGCTGGGGTGCCAAAACTTAATCCATAAAGTTTTCCTGATGAACACAGTTACATTCTGCAGAGTTAATCAGAAAAAGTAGGACTAGAAGGGATCTGAAGAGGTCATTTGTGGCATCCTCCAAACCAAAGGCTGGATTAGCTATACATAAATCAGTAGGTATGTGTCTACTCTGTTTTTAAGAGCCTCCAGGGTTGGATTTTTACACCCTTCTTAGGGAGTATGTTCCAGAATTTTCCTATCTTGGAAGACAGAAAGTCTTCCCAATCCATAATCTCGGTTTGTCTTGCTGCAATTCAAATCACTATGCTTCATAGATTTGCCACTGTGGACATGGAAAACAATTTAATTTCCTTCTTCTTCGCAGGTATGTTTTTAAAGACAAATTGTCATGTTTTCATTCCTTTTTCCTTCACCATCATGAAAGTCATATTACAAAACTACTACATTTCACAGCATCTGTAGCTTTTGGCGGTGGAGGATCCCTTCACTACCCATGGATCCCTTCATAGGTAGAGTTTGTTATGATCATGTAGTCACTGCAGATAGCCTCTGCAGGGCCAGGAATGTATCTGATCACATGCATCAACCAGTTTCTGTTAATCTCAGGAAATATTCTTGAATTCTGCTTTTTCATGGGTGGTGGCGAAGGTAGCAGGACCCACCAAACACACTGCTTGAATGCGCTGTACTACCCACTGTGAATTCTAGTGGTTAAGAGAGTCGTGGCAGGTCTCATGGTTCTCTTCATGGCAAAACGAGAACTTTCTTACTGATGAAAAGCATTTAGCACATGTCTTTCAACTGATTGCTTTTACCTTCCCCCAGCTCAGATTGCCCACTGGTAAAATCAGGAGGATGGCACGAAGTCAGGATGACTGACAGATGAAAAGTGCTATCTGAGAACAAATGAGTCATGCTCCTATACATGAATTTATTCTCACTGGGACTGCAGTGACCTCACTTAATGCTAAGGCCTTCTTGGGATAATCGTCTACCACCTGATTTCTGAAAAAAAAATAGGAAGTAATAGTGAATTATACCATAGACAGAAATTAATAGATGAAATCCATCTGACTTCAGAGCAGTTGCATATATATACATATGGATATGTTAGGAAGGGTAGAGGAATTCAGAAGAATTCTACCCAGTTTTAATACATCAGTCTGAAATAAGAGCAATTAACACACCAGTCTATAAATCAATGGCTTATTTATGAAATTAATATTCCTTGTTCAGAAAAGCATACTTCCTCGCCTTATTGTGAAAAATTCATCTCCTAGTTTGTGTATAATTTAAGAGCCAAGCAACACTTGCATTGCACTGTTTGCAGAACCAGGAAGAAGTGGAGACTGAAGCAGCGTTTAACAATCAGTGTTTTCATTAAGTTCTTGACAGTTAGTCCTGAATTTCCTAGTTTTAAAAAATTTCTACTGCATGCTAAATCCTGATCTTTATTTTTAAATCACACCACCACATAGCTTTCCAAACTGATCTATTTCCAGATTTTCTGTTAATGACTCAGCTAGGATCATGATAGCTTTTAAATAATTGATTGGGGCTTAGTGATTTTTCTAGAATCAGGCCTGAATACAAGGTGCCTCCATCAGTCAGGGTTGCTATAAGGAAAATCTTTGCTCTTTTGTGGTAGTGCCCTTTAATATAAAAGAGCTTTGAAAATGCTTGCTGCAGCTGCTGAAAATGGCCTGCTGTCATTTTTTTTTCAAATGTCATTTGAAAAATAGATTATCATGAAAGATAAGCATAAGCTCCTTACCTTTTTTCCTTAAGGAACACATACTTCTTGAAGCAGTTTGCAAAGATGAGCCATTTTTCAGCACTCAGCATTTTACCTTTTTCCCTACTTGGTCTCCTAGTCTTTACTGTATGTAGTTATAGTGGGTTCATGTGCTGTATAGATTATACAAGCACAACTCATTTATCTGCATTGGTTCCCAGTTTTCTTCTCTACAACTTAGTTCATTTTATTTGTCCTTTGGGAATTTCACAAAATTGGGCAGTAAACTTCCTGTTTTTTTTTTTTTAATTTATTTTATTGAAAACTATACCATAGCATTTACTCTGTCCATATTCAACCTGCCTAAAAATATTTAAATTTGGTAGAGGAATGTCCTGTAGATTTTCAATTGTTATAGTATGAGAGAAAGGCAAACCAACTGATCTGGAAAAATTCACCACTGCTCATTCAACATTCACACATAAGAAAAAATGGGAGCATTTTAACCACAAGGTTTACTGGCCTTTCAGAGCTAAAAATAATTTCTATTTTACAGGTGTTCCAGAAATCAATTTAAGAAATTTATTAGTATAAGCTCCAAAAACTTCCTTGTTGCACAATCATTCTTTGTACTTATTTTGTAAAGTCACAAAGTTTCTCCTTTCTCTAAACTGAAGGGAAAATATTAGCAATTATTATTTACCAAGTGAATCCTGAAAAGGTTTGCAACTGTGCATGTGTGAGATTTTGGAGCATCTTCCTTATCTTGACTGCAGTTGTAAACATACATCAACTTTTCCTAAAGCTTCATAAGAATTTGACACCTATTTAATGGCTTATTCCATAGAATCACATGAATTGTTGCTGAATCCAAAGAGTATCTTACTCTCACAAGACACAGTTTTAAGTGCTTGCAGTGATTTGGTTTATCTGTTGAAAATTTATCAAATACAATTCATAGTGTCTCTGATGTTAGACATGTTATACTCTGTAGCTTCTGCAATATCAATCAGGACAGATGTAGGTTCTCTATGAGATGGACAGAAGAGCCATTGGTCAAACCCTGCAAATCACTAGCAGCAACAAAGCAATGTAGGACATGGGTTCAACTTACAAGAGTCTTGTACATGAAGTAAAAGTCAGTAAAGTGCAGGAGTCATGAAAGAAATACGATGAACCTTGTAATTTAAAACCTCCATTTTAACCTTAAGGGCTAACATGTTGCTTAGCTCTGAGGCACTAGGTAGAGCTAGTGCTAGTTGACACCATACAAAAACACTGCCAGGGAAAAAATCTATTATTCTGGATTCACAGGATCTTTCCTGACTCCTATTGCCCAAGTGAGGGGGAGGAAGAGTCTCTCGAGGCAGCTGATGCCATCTCAGCACCTTATTTTCTCTTCTGAGCCAGCTCAGGGACTATTTGACACACTCAGGAGGGCAGTGGGTATGTAAGGAATGACACGGACTTACCTCCCTTTGGCTTTCTTGTGAGCTAAGGAGACTCAGCCCCCTATAGTCAGCACAAGGCCAGCATTGTCATCTAGATAAACTGCAGTATCCGCTGTGGCACATAAAAGCTATTTACCCAAGAAGCTAGGAAGTGCTTTTGCATAGTTTTGAGGCCCAAGCCATGGCCTCTACATTGCTATGAGATGGGAAGTATGCCTAGAATCATATCCCTCCCCACTAAGGCATCCTGACAGTCACAACTGACTCAGCTGCTTTCACAGCCCAGGGAATCTGAAACCGCTCCAGTGTAAAAGGTCATGCTTCTCAGAGATGTGACACTCAGGCTTGAGTGTCACCTTCCTTTTGAAAAACCCTTCAAATCTAACTCCAGTTCTTGACATAATAATTCTCTCCTGAATCCCTGCTCTTTGATTACTTCAGCCAGACACAAAGGTGTTTTCCCAGCTGGATAACTGTTGAATGCCTGTTTTGCTTTAAAAATGTCATGCATTCTTTTATAAAGCCCCATTTGCTAAATTTAGCTGATCAATTGCATGTTTTCAATACTGAAAGTACATTAAATGGATTTTCCAGTATGAGTTTTTCATTTGGGCAGCCTCTTTAGGGAAATTATTTGGTTGTGAACGGAAGGGGAAGTATTCATAAAATAACCTCTTGTTTGGGTTACACCATTTTTAAGAATGCCCGAGATATGAGAAGTATCACAATTAACTTCAGGTTTCAAGAGGTTTGTACTATCCTAATAATCCAGATAAATGGGATGAGATTCAGGAGCTGCCAGAGAATGTATAAGTTATAAGGTACCTCTGGACACGCTCCTTCTGAGAAGCCCTGGAACAGTTAGAACTTTTTCTTCAAAAATGACATTTGAAAGTTCTTTGAAGGCACAACCTTATTCTGTGTGTGCATTGTGCAGCAGCTTGGACAATGGAAGTTTGATCTTTCATTGGGATCAATAGATGTTAGTGCAACAGATGTGTACATATAAACACAAGGACTAGTTGTTGGGGGTTTTTAATTCTACGTTAATTATATGATCCTTTGGCTTTCAGATGGTGGAAAGCATTTCCTTATTAGCTTTAAAAATAACAAAAATAACATTTTATTACTTAAAGACCAAAAATGAAAGCAACACGCATTTAAGATTTTTAATAAAAAGATTCTAACAGTGATCTGATGGGACATTTATACTTCCTAAAGGTAGGCAAACCAACTATCTCAGATATTGTCTCTGCTTGTTTCTTCTGAACAGGATCTCTGTTTTCAGCTCTGAAGCCCCCTGAAACGATCTTCAAGGTGATTTTTTGGCTTGGCTACTTTAACAGCTGCTTGAATCCAATCATCTACCCTTGCTCAAGCAAAGAGTTCAAGAGGGCTTTTATACAGATCCTAAAATGCCAATGCCACCGTCGAAAGCAGTTGGGGTGGTGGGCCTACAGCTACAGAAACTGGAATCGGTGCTCCTTTGAACACCCTAGGAAGGACTCTCTGGAAGACAGCGGGAGTTTCCTAAGTGGCAGTCAGAGGACATTATCTTCAGCATCTCCCAGCCCCGGCTACCTAAGCAAAATCACTCACCCACATATGGAGATGTGCACATTCCAAGAATGGAAAAACAGCTCTTTCCTGAGTCCCTTACAGGAAGGCAGCAGACAAAAGGACCCATGCCAGTTCTTTACCTTCAATCTCTTAACAGAGCGCAATGGACACGTTCCTGCTGGCAGCCAAGCTTCCAGCAATGGGGACCATGAGACCATCTGTGACACACTGAATGGCAAAACCGACTGTAGAGCAAACATGATGCTGGAATGAACAGATTCTGAACGGTCTGTTCTCTTTGTACACTAACCCGTTGGACTTTTAGCCCAGGTGAAGAAATGGACCTTTGCACAGTTTCTCAGTATAGCACTAGAAGGAAGCCAGTAAGGAACAGGCAGATTTATATCACAAGAGCGGCAAAGTCTAGGGGCTAACAATATTCCCAGTCAATTGCCAGAGAGGCTACTGAAGCAAGAACAGAATGTAGGCAAGGCGCTGCATAAACCCAGGGAAGTACACATCTAATTATTTAGCTGTCATGGAAGTGCTGTAGAACAGCCAAACATATGTATATAGAAGGAATGTACAAATATGGGGGTGGGGAGGGGAAATGTGTATGAATGTGTGTGTGTACATGTGTGCTAGCTGCATGTATGGATGCCTGAGAGTGGAAGTGAACAATGCAGTGTTATTTGTATCTCTCCAGGGTACTAGCTGCCACTGATTTTGCCTGTAAATTCTTACTGTTGTTGTACTTCACTGTACATTAGCACTTTAGAAATGGAAAACAATGTCAAAGATTAAAGTAATTTCGCAACAATTTAAACAATTGCACCTCTTACTATAGGACTGCAATTCAGCCAAGTTCCCTCACCGTGATTTTCACTTCAAAATAAAATACTCATAGCAGTTAAGTTTGCCATCATAACTCCTAGGACGCTCCAGAATCTCTCTGCAGCTGCTTCTCTTCCATGACTCCCTTACCACCAACATATGTAACTCCTCTATCCTTCACCATGTTCTTTTGTGAAAGCTTGAAAATACCAGCAGTGATGAGAGCTCACCATCTACATTTCAGCACATTAGTAACTGTCCTGTAAAAATACAGGCTACCAGAGGATCTGATTTCTAAAAGCAACACTCATAAATCACTCCAAATACCTCATAAAAAGTGTCGTGGACACAGCACAGAAGAGCATTGACCGCTGGAATCCCAAAACCCAGCCTTAGGACAGATACACTGAGCCCCTGGTTCTTTCAGCACACTTTGAAAATAGTGTTGCACATTTAGAGGCTTTTACTTTGCCACTCAGATAAGAAGTGAAAGAGTCAAAACAATGGAGTAGTGTAAATTTCACTGTCATTAATATTTTTCAGCTCAATAATACAGTACTGTAACAGAATTCCTGAGAATATCTCCTAGGATGTTTTAGGTTATGTTTGGAAGTTATTTTCATCTCTTGCAATTAAGTGTGAAGCATGAAACTAATGACTTATTTTTTTACGTGAAGTGATACAAATCATGAAAATTGGTATTTACTCCTTCCTCTAACCGAGATCTTGCTTATTAGGAATTTTAGTGACATTTTTTTAAAGCTTGAAACAGAGAATGAATCTTAAACAGATGTACTAAAGCCACTTAGGGACAGTTTAACAATGCTAGGACCCAGGGGAGAGCCATTTCCTTTTTTTTCCTTAAATGCATATTCGCTCATTAAGTTGACAGGAATGGATGTGGCTTGTGGTTAGATGAAATATCCCCCAGCTCAGTGAGCAACATAGGAAAGTCATGTTTGAAGGTCTTCCCATGGTCATATGTTACAGTAAGAACCACATAAGTATATTTTAGGTCTTATCCTGATTGAAATTATGGCCAGTTTCCTATTTTAATAATTCCATTTTGATTGTGGGGACGTCTGCAATTTCCTCTTAAAAGGACAATGTTTATAAAATTTAAAAGTATTATAAAACAGATAAAGTAACTCTTGTTCATATATTGAGGTTGCTATAAAGAATATTCTATCTAACTGTGACATACTAGTACGAAGCTATCCTCTTTGGGCCTCTAAATGGCAGAGAACTATATTTCTAGCCTATTGTTATCATTTTTGGAGGGAACCTACAGTAGTCTGTCAAACACTTTTGGGTTTTGTAAAGCTTCTTCAAAATTACTGTGAATTGGAAATAAATTCGTTTAATCTAACCACCTGACAGCACACTCCAGATAAATTTTGTGTCACACATGACTTGTAAAGTAAATCCAAGTAATGTTATCCGTATTTGAGAATTTCTAAGTGACACTGCAAAGTTTCAGAATAAATGACATTCCATTAATCTAAAGCTTTTAACTGTGTAGCTCTCAGAGACTGATCATTCTTTTAATTAGTTTCTAGTCCTAACAAAGGCTGTGTGATCTTTGATTATCATTTAAGTTCCTTAAACAATGACATAATTCTCTAATTACCTATGAAATCAGTTAGGCTTTTATCCCATACTGAAGTGACTTATGAGTACTTAGCATCTTTGTAAATTTTTACATGTAATGTTACAAAAATTGCAAGGAAAGTTCCCTTACTGCTTTTTTAAAATCTATAGAAAGATAATTTCAGCCACTTTAGTACTGAAAAAACAGCTTTCTCTAAACACTGTAATTGATCAGGAGGACAAGGTATGCATTAACATCATGCTAGTCCATGCCATTTAGAATACCCAGTGCCTCTAACTTTATGAATCATATACCAAAATCCTCAGAGAGCCAAAAACCCCAAGACACATGTCCCGTAAGCTTTAAAGAGCGGAGAAGAGAAGGCATTCCACGGGCAGACAGTAGTATTTTTCCCTGAGAGTTACATTACTCTTCTGTAAGTTTGAGCTGGGAAGGCTGCTGGACTCTGCAGGGACAGCAACATGGACTCATCCACCCCCACCAGCTTGCTTTCTCTTACAGCCAGCCACAGCACTGCTGCTCTTCCCATGTCCTACCTAGCATGGGAGGCATATTTGAACCGCGTACAAAACATATGTGTCTCAAGAGCCACAGAATCTCTACCCTGTAGTGCTTCCCTTCCTCAAGCCCAAGTCCTGAAAGTATGTTAAGGGCAACCTCCCTGGGGACATGACTAGGTTATACTGCCTTGCCGAGAAAACAGGAAACTAAGAGAAGCTCTGCTTTAAGATTTCCAATACTAGGGAAAACAAGAACAGGAAAAAAGTTTATTCACTATGTTGAAGCTGGAAAACAAGAAGTGGAGATAATCACAGGCAATGAAAACAAACATACTCTGTCATTTCTAAGACAGATATTTACATCACACCCGTTTTTCTTAGCATATTCATTAGGCCACATCCTAAGGGACGATAGCATAAAATCCCTAGCATCAGACAGTTGAAGGAATGACAACCTGTAGGCTCCAGCACAGCAACCAGGGAAAACAGAAAAAAATGAGAACAAGTTCAGGCAATACCTGACATATACTTCAGATACCATTTTAACAAATTGCACCTCATCCTTAATCACTACCCAATTAAATTTTAAGACTGGTGAGCCTACAACTTGTAACTGTAACAAATATAAGATGGAAGGATTCCTAATATTTCTCAAAAATACGTTTCTCTTCTTCAAGCTTTTTCCCAGGCTGTGTACATATCTTGCCATGCCATGCATGCTCTCCATAGCCATGCATGATATTACAGGACTTCCCCAAAACAGATTACTGTTCTTCTTCTAAGCTTTTTACTTTTCGCCTCATGAATTCCCATTTTTGTAGGGTACTATACAGCCTGTTCTTATACTAAGCAACACTGTACCAGTGGGGACCCATCCATGCAATTATGCTAAAGTATGTAAGACTTCAAGAGTCATCTCACATTTGCTCATAAGCTGCCAACTACACCCATTTTGTTTCCAGCCACAGCTTCAGTAAAGGTACGGGCAATAAAACTGATCACACAAATGCAAAAAAAAACCCTCATGGATGTGAAGGAGGGACCACAAAGATTACAGAGGAGAAATTCTGATATGCCACCTTAAAATATGAAACCCTTGCAAGGCCACCTGACTTCTCTAGAATGAATCTATTCTAAATGTCTTTATTTTTACCACTGGAATCTTCTGCGACCTCCACCAGGCAAAGCCTGCCCAAATGAGGCCATGCAAATCACCCTCTTCCCTTTGTTAGTCCTTCATTTGTTGCAATGTTTTCCTTTAAAGGAAAAACTATTTGGGTCAGAGCATCATCATCAAACCTTGTGGGACAAGCCCATATTAGCCCATTTTTTTAGTACAGCCAAAATTAATTTGACAAGCAGAACATCCACAACCTACTGAAATGGCAATTGGCACACGATGGTGGTCTATCAGATGCAACTATACTCCATCATGCATATTTTTTATGCATATTAACAGACCTTCTGATGAACCCATTTTGTAGGCAAATAGATTTGCCTTCAAAGAGGAGTTGCTGCCATTTAGCACAGAAGGTGTTCATAAAACACTGTGAATTTCTCCAGGTTAAGCTACTGTGTGGAGCTTAATCACTAACTAGGGGCTTGTACAAAGCCATTCAGTTGAGAGGCACAGCTGTAATGGCTCACAGAGTATTGTTACAGCCCAGCTGCACATAAATTAAATCCATTAGGCTTCAATGCACTCCGCTATCACAAGTGCTTCTTATTTTTGAAAAGAGTTACGGTAAAATCAATCCAACTGAATGAGACTGAAACTCTAGAGTATTCTACATTCTTTACTCTTTGGAAATGCAGTTTTCTATTATCTTTTCAAATGTGATGGGGAGAGAAGAGGGGACATCAATATTATAAAGTGCAGTTCTAGTTTGGAAAATGTAAAAATAGCAACTTTCTATTCAACAGATGTGCTCTCCACTCTCAGTTTCTGTGCTTGACTTTCACCTGATACAAATGAGCTTAAAACTGCACAACACAGGAGATGATAAGCCACAGCAGCTATGGTATGAAAGTACTGGTATACTAACAACTGCTTATTCCTGTTAGTGGCCGTAAACTAACCACCTCATTCCCACAAGCATAAACTGGATTCTGTTTTGATACACTCAACAACGGACATGCTTACCTTTTTTCCAAGCCATGCTGGCAATGCTATGACTCACACACCTCATAGGGCAGAACATGGTATTGCAGGGATGGTGCATCAGACAAGAAATACCACTTTCATCCTGAAGTGGTCAAAAAGAAAATACTTCAGAATATGAAGACACATCATGCTAGTTTAAGTCACTTCAATGGAACCAAACATT